GATCTTCAATAGTATAAGATAGCTCTAATGATGATGGTATTAGACTAATTTGTCCTTTTATCTAAATAATATATTGATATAAAGAAAATTCAGATTATAATTTCATATCAATGTGTAAGCCATAATAATTAACAATGATAATTTGCTTGGTAAAAATAAAACTATTTTTCAATAGAATATCCTCCAGTTTTTCTGTTGTTTCTCATTATTATTGAAAGATTGATTTAGGAAAATTCATCTTGAGAATTTTGAAAAATCATTATAAATTTGTGTATAATTACTATAAAGTTTATTTTCTTATGTTCAATCAAACAAAGTTTGAACCTTGGAACCTCCTTAGTCAAACATTAATGTGATATTTTCAATATAGATTTTTATCAAGTATTTTTCACAAGGTCGAATTTTTTAAAATCCCATCTGAAGAAATATGAAAATATCTTATCAGAGAATGATATCTTCTAATGAACTTTTCAAATTAAAAAAACCCGAATCATCAGAATGTTTAGCAAATTCTCATTTATAAAGCGGAACTATCACTAATATATTTGTGTAAGAATCGATTTTCAATAGTGGCAAACATCAGAAAATCATTTAATTATTTTATCATATTCAAAAGAACTCCTTTATAAACCAGATTCCTTCTGATCCTGATATTTAAAATGGGTACTATGCCACTTACACGCATTATCTATTATACATGTTTATTTTTTTATATGGCAAAGCAAGTTATTTTGAGAGATATTTGCCTACCACCACCAATTTTCAATTATCCATATTAGATAATTGATTGTGGTCTAAGTTCAAGAAATAAGAGGATGCTGATGAAGAAGAGGAAGTTGTAAATTGTACAAGATTCCTCCCACGTTTCATTCATGCCATTAAATATGATTTTTATCAAATATTGATGAAAGTTTGTCCGTCAATTAGAAAACTATATGCCATTTCCATACTAAAGAATTTTTTCACAAATTTATGAGTTGTATTGTGATGACACAGCATCGCCACATTTATATTATCAATTAGCATTAATGTATTCAAGTAAACTTTTCATTAATAAAGATGATGAATATAATGAAAATGCTGGTCTAAAGCCTAATAATATTATTTGTAATTTTGGAAATTGTAGAGCTTACTGGTCAATTTGAATCAGTAATTTGGGGTAGAATAATTCGAATTGTTCAAACTATTTGAATATTCAAATATTTGGTTTTTCAACAAATTTAATTAAAAAAATTTTCCATGGATGATTTAAACAACAATGATTTTTACAATGATGATTCTTATTCTGTCCTTTCACTTCCCAGACCTTCTATGTGATTGGATTCAGATTCAACTACCATATCTAATATTGCCAAAAATCAAACAAAGATACAATGACCCAAAAGCTAAGCTACATGTCAACTTTCATCACCTTTAAATGCGCAGAGTCAGTCACTTCTTTTCATTCATTCTCATCATTTGTTTTCATCCTACACAGGTCATGTCTCCTATTTGCCGGGATCATGAAACAAGAAGAAGTGTGAATTAATAATAACAATCGATTGGTTCAGGATATGGTATTTTTGTTTATTCACAAGAGTACAATAAGCAAGGAAGTGTCAATGACAATGAAACAGTAAAATCACTTTTCCTTCTTAATTGTATGTTTTAAAAAGTCGTTTCCAAAAAATAAAATAATCTGGCATGTTCAACTAGTCAGCCAGAATCAGATTAGTAGAAATATCCAACCTACTCAATATATTCTATTCTACACCCCTAAGGAAACTGCATCTAGGATTTGGGTGTTAGATATAAGTATCAAATAACAAACTCAAATTTACTATTTATTAATTAACTAAAGAAACATAGATAACTCATCATACAATGAGATTTTTTAATTCTGAAAAATGTTTTGAGCTTGCATCTACAATGTAACTGAGCCATATTTATTGATATTATTGTACTTTCATATTGAAAATGTAATTTTCGTCATAAATTCTAGATGTCTATTAATGCAAAATTTAACAAAAAATAGTGTTGTTACATTATATATAAGGTTCTTTTTAACCAAAAACACTTTTGAATTTTTTTTTCTGGCTATTTTGCTTCCAAAGTTATAAACTTTTTAGACTTTATTTTGGATGAACAAGCAAGGGAATTTGAAAATAAGTGAAAGCATCATAAAATTGACAAAAATCAACAAGAAGGAAATTTGCCAAAAGAATCTGATGGCACATCATCATCATCATCATCATCATCATCAATAATTACAACAGAACATGTATCTGTATCTATGCCTCCAACCTTATTA